ATCTTTGAATAAACAGGAGGAGGTGTGGTTAGTGCACAAGTCCAGGGGTTGGTTTGAGAAAAGAGTATAAATTCTTCATAGTAATGGGAGAGAATGCAAGACAAAGAGCCTACACTGGTGGGTAGATGTGATAGCGGGAGGTTGGGGTGTTCTTTTTTTATTTTTGGCTTTCTTCCCCCCCCCTCAAAAATTTGCATGTCTTCTTCCAATTTTTATACATGTTCCGCCAAAGCAAACACAATAGCTTCTTCTTTCACTTAAAAAAAGCCAATATAGATGTGCCGTCAAAGCAAGCACAATAGCTTTTCTTTTTTTCAGTGAAAGAAGCTGAGAGTTTGGTGGCAGAGAGAGGAGATATTGGAAGTTTGAAGACAGAGAAGTTATTAGTCGGTTTTTTAAAAAAAGAATATTGTCCTAGCTGGTTTGGCTCAGTGCATAGAGTGTCGGACTGCGGACCGAAGGGTCCCAGGTTCCATTCTGGTCAAGGGCACATGCCCGGGTTGTGGGCTCGATCCCCAGTTGGGGGTGTGCAGGAGGCAGCCAATCAATGATTCTCTCTCATCATTGATGTTTCTATCTCTCCCTCTCCCTCTCTGAAATCAATACATTAAAAAATATATAGAGAGATTTGGACTGGAATTAGAAAACTCGATTTTGACTTCTAGATTTTTCACTCATCAGGTGGGATTTAATTTGTCTGAACCTCTCAGGTGTTCAGTTTCTCTATGGGCAAAATGGCGATACCTACTGCTCAGAATTTTTTTGTTTTGTTTGAGGATTAAATAAAAGAATAAGTGTGAAGAAAGGCATTTGGCAAAGTTTTTAGTACTTGAAAGATAATTTTAACATTTGAATCCACTCAAAAAGGACTTGCTTTGTAAGCATTGTCATGTACTTTACACACATTCTTATTTAATCCTCACATTGACCCCGGGGGGGGGGGGGGGGGCACTCTGACCCTGTTTTACTGTTGGGAAGTTGAGCATCTGAGGTATTAAGAATCTTTTCTCAGGCTCAGAGTTAGGAGAAGGTGGAGCGGCATTCCAATCAAAAATTTAAATCCAGGGCGCAGACTCTTTAAGAGCTACCCCCCTCCAAGACGTGTTTTCTTTTTCATTCCCTGAAGTGTAATTTACTGTCCTCTTGGAGTCGGTTATAAGGGTCTTCTTGGTACATGTTAGGGAACAAGAAAAAGCTGAATAGTTCATTTAAAATTTTAGTTCATTTAATATTTTCAAGGGCACAGGCCTATTAAATAGTTCATTTAATATTATCATTGATGTCAGAGAGGAAGAGAGAGATAAACCTCAATCATGAGAGAGAACCATGGATCGGCCGCCTCCTGCACGCCCCGCCCTGGGGATGGCGCCCACAGCCCAGGCACGTGCCCTTGACCACAATAGAGCCACGACCTCCTGGTTCATGGGTCCAGCTCAGCCGCTGATCACGCCCGCCGGCCGGGGTAGCTCATTTTGGAAAACTTATGACGTCGGAAGTGGTTTAACATTCGATCCCTCCAATGTCAGCAGTTCGAACAGAGAGGACTAATAGAAGAGAGGTGCTGTCGCCAGATTTTTAGGAGAAAGGTGTTTAAAAAACATATTTTCAAGTGTTAAATAGAATTACATATTCCATTTCCCAACTCCATCAGGGGGCCCGCGGCCCGCGCGCCTCTCGGGTAAGACAGCCAGTGGCATCAGTCCCGAGGGGTGGGGAGGGTTGGTCTCCCGGGGCTGAGTGGGTGGCGGAGGGGGCACGGCTGGGCCCTGACCGGGTGGAGCAGTGGTCGGGGGGCGGGTTATCTTATCGTTCCTTAAGAATCTGTGCTGAAATTTTCTGATGAATCATTTCACTCCCCTTTTTTAATCATCTCACTCAACTACAGATGGCATAGCTCCGGTTCACACCATGAAGATGCCAAAGGCACAAGACAAAAACAC